ATATATGCCATGAAAATATATGAAAATAAACATATATACATATGTTATTATATTTCATAAACTTTTATAACGTGAGTGCATAGTTTTGAACTTCGAAATAACTAAAAAAAAATTATTTTGTAGGATACATCGAAGGTAAGTCAAAGGCATAAGTAATATTTTAAATTACAAATGAATGAATTATGTGGATTTATTTTTCAAAAATTTTATAATTCGTTGATATCATTAAAAGGCATAATTTAATATTTTATCCCTCGGAATTTAAGAATCTAATTATACCAGTAACTGATCAAATAAATGCAGTATATCATTATAATATATCACCAATAGATGAATTCAATTAATATGTTATAGAACATAGACATGATAAATATCAGTTTATCAAATTTTATAACAATTATCATTAAATTTAAATATTCATGGCTTTACTGTGCAATGATATCATAATGTTGATACAGAATTAAAATTTTCTTTTATTGAAGCAACTATTATAGTTATCAATACATCAATTTAAAAAACATGATGTATAAGTTCTATTATATTCAATAAATATTCTATATTAAAATGATCAATGTAATGATGATTTTTATACTTTAACATTACTTAATAAGAAAAAGAAAATTCCTATTTTGCTTGGTTATATATATATATATATATATATATATATATATATATATAACCTGCACAATCGAAATAACATTTATTAATCTATTCCATGAAATACTTACATTTATATAAAGTTCAATGTTTATTATTTTAAATGTAATATATTAGATTATTTTTTTAATGATATTGATAAAATATATTTCTAGTCCGCTGAACTGAAAAGTTGAAGAAAAAAAAATGTATTCTTCAGACCACGATTTTTCGTGACAAACAGTTGGTTAATTTTTCCGCGGTAAATTTAATTTTTTGAACGAAATAGGTAAAGCGAATAAAAAATTTTTTCTTATAATCGAACTATCCCGAAAAACACAAAAATACTCGTCCATAGGATGTAATAAGGTTTCTCATAATGGAGATAGAAAAACGTAAAAGAATTGTCGTTTCCATGACTATTAAAATGAAGGAAGTTGCGAACAAGTTAACCAATATTGTGTCGATGCAGAGCGAAACGAAACCCGCGGGCTATTATCAGCTTTTTCAACCTGATCAAAAGTTCCCGACGACTAAAGTCCCTTTTGCTTGAAATATCAAAAGCTTCGTATTTTCCTTCATATAATGTTACTGTTTAAAAGATCGAAAAAGATATCAATATATTACAAAAACAGAGTAATAAACATAGACATTCATTGACCAATGCATGCGTGCTCCCGCAAAAAAATTAACAGTTTATCATGAATTTATTTTAAAATTATTTAGAACCATTTTAAGATTTATATTTTTGATGAAATTTTTTCACAATCTTGTTCGCTAATGTCGTTTATAATAAATTTTTGGTGATAAATTGTTACACAAATTTACTATTGAAAGTAAATAATGAATGTCTCAAATGGAAATTGTTCACTTTCAATCTTATCGTACGTTCTCACTCATAAATTTTGAATATATAATATTCACCGCACATTTCCATAATACACAAAAATTTTAATTAAAAAAAAAAATAATTTATACTAAATATCATACTTTCACTGTAGTCACTTATAAATCAAGTAAAATATATCTTTGCAAGTTCCACATCTTGACAACCGATTCTTGAACTTGCGAAAAATGAAATGTAAAAAATAAAATTACAATATTGCAAATAGAAGATTTAACGTTAATAATATTTATTATTGAATAAATCTAATTTACATGTAGAATACATGTCTATAAAAAAAAAGAAAAAAAAGAAAAAAGAAAAAAAACAAGCGGATAAATGCAACTATTCAATTTCTATATTAAATATGTTTTAAATATTATAAAAATTATTAGCTTGAAGAATTTACACAACTTTTCCAGAATTGAAATGAACCAAGACTTTATTACTGAATATTTTTATACTGAATTTTACATAAATTTTGTAAATTTTTAAATCGATTCTCTGAACTCGTAACATCTTTGATGAACAAACTGAAACATTCAAAATTGAATATAAAAATAGATTATTAACATTACATTGTACAAATTCACCAGTCTAAGGGTTCTATAATAGATATTATTAAGAGTATTATTAGATATCTCTATTATGACGATAACCCATCCTGGCATTACATTACATTCAATAATCGTGTCCATTTGTGAATGCCGCACAAATTCACAAGATTTGCATAATGAAGCATGTTGACTCAAAGATGATATATCGCATATAACCACTCAGGAGATCAGAAAGCCAGAAATTAAAGCAGATAATTTTCCGCGTTGTGAGGTGCTATGTGATATTGGTTATAGTTATGTTATCGATATTAGGATGTGTTGTATAGGTCTCGAGTTCTCCCTCTAATTTTCAATTTATATTCTTCTTCGTTGCCATCTACATTTATCGAAATATTTTAGATCACAATGAGACTGTATATTACGGACATTATTTAAAAATTCATAATTACGTGGGAAAACAATGTTAGTCGTATCATAAGGTCGCATCTTGACAAACTTTCATCGGGATTTCCAAATAAAAAAAAAAAAAGCCCCCCTTTCCAATATTCTTAAATTACTATTTTGCAGATACAGCTTTTAAAGATATTTAATTTTGAAACGCAAGTTTAAATTACTAATTATGCAGAAAGATATATGACTATCTAAAACGATACCGTGATTAATGGCTATTTTCATCAATATAAGCAAATTTTATTTTTCAACGTAAAAACTTAAAAAATATTTTAAGATATTCTATTTAAAGATATTTTAAGATATTTTTAAAATATATATTTAAAATATTTTACGATATTCATCTTAAAATGAATATTTTAAAATAATAACGACGAAAAGAATTTCTTCCGTAAATCATTTGATTATATAAATGTTAGAAAAATACAAACGTAAGCACTTGATGGCTCGATGTACATAAACATTTTTCTCTGGCGTCAAACTGTGAAAGTTTTAATTAATCATGGGCCAAAAAGATGAATAAAGTTGCACAAGCTACGAAGATAAACCACGCCTCTGCCTCTTTAACCTCCCGAGTTTTTCCATACCTATATATTACTCAATGCCTTACCCTTAAATTGCATAATTTTTCAATAGCGTTGTGACGATTAAGCTACCAAGCGAATCTCCGATTCCTTAATTTTTGCTTTCATTAAAAATATAAAAATATTATCACATGATACGCGCTGTCCCTCAATCTCCCCCCCCCCCTCTCTCTCTCTCTACATATATATATATATATATATCTACATTTCGCATTAAACAATTCAGTGGACTTTCGTAAATGATAGAAAAGTTGAAAACAGATGTGCGTATTGAACAAAGTTAAGATGTGCCAAATTCATTACTTGGCTCTTTTTCGGTACTATAGCGAATTTTTCAGTACTTATGTTCACACTTTGTCAGTATTTCCGGATATGTCAAAAGACAAACCGTGTTAGGCAAGTTTTTGAATGCAATGTTTCTCGAATAATTTTATATAAAATAAAATAAATTTATTACAATAAATTTATTACACCACTGAAATGTAAAACTAATAAATCTGTATTTTTTTCCGTGACATTTTAATGTAAATTTAATATGAGTTTAATAATATAATAATTGAAATATCTGTGCAATAATTATGCTATACAACAAAAATTACGATATCGATATAATAAATTGATTTTTTGAAATTTTGTATTGTAAGAATTTTGATTGTAAGAATAGCATCTTTATACATTGATATGAAAGTTTTTAATGTCGACATTAATTTCCACGCTTACGTTTATATGTTTGTCTGTGTGCTCAACTTAAATTTTCAATTAATGCCTCAATATTGCCTCAAACACATACTAGTAAATTGAAGAAAATGAATAATTCTAAATTATTGTTCAATCTGCTACGTTCAATTATATAAATGGATTACATTATAAAATATCGGAAAGCTAAATTAAGTAATCTATAAAAATTTATTTGGAAAATTGTATTCATAATTTCAAAAGTACCGATTCCCATTAGTAGTACATTACATAATTTTCAAACTCTTTATACACCCTCCCATTACACTCTTTTTCTCCGTCTCCCTTTACTCGTTACAGGCTCACCATCTTCTTTGCTCTTTTACTCCTCCTAATGCAATCGCTTGAATTAATTAACTTACCGATTATTTACGATACAGGAGCTGGTCCTTAAACTAGGAACGAAATAAATTAGTGTAGGAGAGTCAGTGTGCAGCGAAAAGTCTCGTTAGCATACTCAGGATTTTTGCTTGCTTTAATAAATTGATTCAATATTTAATTACGCTGTAAGTCTTCTCAATAAGATTATTCCACTTTTACGCTTCAATTTGATCAATGAGCATCTCAATATCGTGAATAACCTCTCTTCCCTACGGAAAAGGCAAAAATTGCTGCATCAAAACTATTAGTGTACCATTTTCATCATTACTCTTTTAGCGTAAGGGATATACTTAATAAATTGATGAGAATCAATTTTGCTCAAAGTTTTATGAACATACATATAGATAATGTTTATATACTTATTCGAAATTTATTAAGTACTAGTCTATAGATTATATATATATAATAATGACTTTCATTCGTATTTTCATTCAAATACAAAATCATTCCAGCAACTGTGTACCCTAAACGAACTTATTTACCAGGACGATAATTTGATTATTTTTACGATATTAACTCACTTCATGACCATGAAATTATACTTAATATTAGTTGTTATTGATTTTTTCAGAAATTTTTTCTAAATAATAGAATAACAAACATTATGTTATATGTAATGGAAATTTTGTATAAAACAGAAAACGCATTCAACTCTCATAATCAATGAAAGTGCATACATAACCAAATATAAAATAAATACATAAATTTTCCTAATTGATCATTCATTCATCAACGAATGAAATTCAATAGAATAAATTTTCAATAATTTTCCAGAGACGGTGGTGGAAGCATGCTAGGTGACGTCAACATATCGGCAATCCTAGACTCCTTTTCAGTCAGCTACGATAAAAGAGTAAGGCCGAACTACGGAGGTGAGTAGCAATCCTGATGCCTGACTGTTGTATCTAAAAGTGAAATTAATCAGAAATGATCATCTCACTTTACAATATGTATGTCCAATATTTTTTTCTTTTCTCGAGCGCCTTCAATATGAGATGAGCGAAAATCGCTATCAGTATAAGTAAATGTGTAAAAATGATGTTGGTGGGGTGCCGTCGACCGTGCGATAACAAAGCGCGAAGAGAATGTATCGTCCTGCGCGGAGTTATTTCATAACTGTACGAATATATATATATATATATATATATATATATATATATATATGTGTGTGTGTGTGTGTGTCGTGCATGTATATGCATGTACGCACATAGGACGACAATTTGGCCTAATTGGATACTACGAGAGAGCCCGTAACGTTAGGGCTTTTAATTGGTTTTATTGCGCCGAAAATCTACTGTCGATTATCAACTATGTATATGCAACACTTTGCCATATCGCTATATATTTTTGCATTCCGTGGGCTTCCTTAATCACGTAATGAATATTAATTCATAGTGTTTTCGTATTTTGCGCAGGGTAATAAAAAAGATGTATAGAAAATAAATTTCAACGCGCTATAAATACACTTATTCTATTTATATTGTTATTAGAAAATAATTGAGTTTGCAAATTTTCATAATCATCTAGACGAGTCATTAGATAAAAGAGAAATGTAGATGCCTAAATTATAAAAACATATATTATAAAAGCAGATTATAAAAACAGACCTAAAATTATAAATTCACAATGGAGAAATTACTATTAAACTAACATTAATATCAACTTAGAAGAAAAAAATAAACAAAAAATAAATAAATAAAGCAGTTAACTATTGCAAAACAATCTGTAAAATTCCTTTCTTTACATATTTTCATGAACCTCCATGAATCAACATTAAAAAGTACTCCAAAGCAATTAGGTATCATTATTGTTCTCACAAACTTATCAACGGCAGTACCCGAGCGCCTTCAAATAACAATATTCACTCGGGCAATTTACGATTATTTCGTTCCACGTGAAAGCTTATATGTATAGACAATTATGAACACTTTATGCCAATGTGTGTATATACATAAGCACATATGGCTGTCCTCATGGCATTTGCATATACATACCTAAATATGGATGATTTTCGGAAAATGCGCAACGAGGTGCTTCGCGTCCATTAGGATGTACGAACGAACCCCCAAAATTAATGTGAAAACTCGAAATTGACTGTCAAAATTCCGTCGCAATTACGACGCGTTAAGGACAAGAATAAAATAATAATAGGCTTACCGCCTTCTTGAAACCGCGTGAAACATTTTGCTAATGAAGCGGCTTTAAGGAGGCGAGAGGAAACATTAAAAAAAAAATCAAAAAAAAAATCAAAAAAAAAATAAAAAAACAAGCCCCGCCATACTCGAATAAGCTCATGCAGTCCATATAAAACGATAATTTTATCTCATTCTAGATATCGCGTACATTACTATTATTTCATCTCTACAAAGATAATAAAAATTGATATAGTCAATGTAAAAAAGAAGCAAGAAATGAAAAAAATATGATCATAGAGAAACTTGCATTTTTCATTTAGCCGTTGAACTCAGGATCGTAATCGATGATTTATTTTTTCCACTCGCAAGAGACTTTTTTGTTTCTTAACGAGTACAGTGGAATAAATAAATAGCCGAAAGAAACGCGAAATAATTAGTGTATTGGTAATTGTTGAAAAAAACGTGCTGTCTTTTTATTTAAGTATTCATGAACAGGTAACGAATAAAGATTTGTCGCAACAACTTCAAATCACTCTCGAGCATTTTTTTTTCTTCATTACATAAAAACCAAAGCTGAATGATCAAATTAGTGTCAAAGTAACAAGCTAAATAAAAAAGAAGCAAGTAAATAGAAAAACATTTGAGAAAATTTGAGAAAATCTGGACTTTTACTCACTGAGCCTTTAGTCACAGGTAATGAATTTAGATTTCAATAACTTTACTGTCCGCATGCAGATTACGTAGATTATACAACAACCATGACACTATTATGAGAGAAACATAATAAAACAAAAATATTATACTTTATTTATAAACCGTGTAAACGGCTCTCGGTGTATTTTTAAAGTCCAGCTACAGTAAATATCGTATTCATAAATGATAATGTATAGTACGTAGTGTATGCCTAGAGAAAAAAGAAACAAAATTTCACTTTGTTTAACAAATGTAGGAGGCAATAGCCAGTGAAAAAAACATGTTTTATATGCCACAAATACATGCCATAACCTTGATGAACGTGACATTAATCAAAACCACGAATAGGCGATTTTTATTGAAGTTGAACAATGATTAATACACGTTAAGGCGTCGTATTTTTTTGTTGCGATGCTTTATGTCGGACGAGAGGCTCGGAAGTGCCAAATGAGATGAAGAAATTTATTGGATCTCGACAGAACGAAGATTTCATTTTATACGATTTTATGCTACGTTAAATTTTAATAATTACTGTGCATTCATGGCGATTTGATTACTAAGACATTCGGACAATTAATTTATTGCACAGCCTTTCATTTAATAAAAAAAAAAAAAAAAAAAAAAAAAAAAAAAATGTATGATATAAATATCTTTTTTCAATGAATTCGACTACACATATCGATATCTCCTTTATCGATTAGGTTTCCAAATTTAAGACTCGCGCAGTAGTAATTTTAGTTACTCAACTCTCAGATAAGCACTAAGTAATCATATTACAACTTATAATTTATCGCTTATATAAATCATAATTTCAGCATTCAAAATTAAATACTCATTACTATTTTAACAACTACTCACATAAGCGTCTACTAATACAAGTGAACTTCATTGATAATAATTGTATAAATGTGTAATATTTACAAATACATTTTTAATTAATAGAAGGTATTAATTTTAAGAAAAATTTATAGTATATGAATATACCTTATTAAATGAGGAAAAAATCAATATTGAAAAAAATACATAATCGTTAAAACGACCTATCAATTACTTTATGTATTTAATATAGTTACCATTTTTAATAATTTAAAGACTCCAAATCTATTTTAACAAATGTAGTTTCTTTATTATGCAATATAAAATTTACTAATAATCACTATAAGCTGAGTGACGGCGAACTTGATTTTAAAATTTAATAGAAAATCAACAATACCGTGTACTTTAAGGCACGAAATATTTTTAATAATTTTCACAAATTTTTTGTTTAATTTGTTTGATAGTAATTATTTAAAAATTCAGAATCCACTGCATTTTTATATTTAAAATTTAATATAGTTAATAGGATAGCTTTTTACATCGTTAATTAAAAATATTCTCACCAAAGAGCAGAAAGTCGTAATAACTGAAGTTAATATATAAGAAAAAAAAAAAATAAGAATAATAATAAAAATTGACGTATGTTAAAAAGTGTAAAATATTGACTCATAATAACTGCTTTAGAGGAAGTGAAAATTAAAATAGTACGTAAAATTTCCCAGATGGTCGACCATTACCGTAATAACCCAATTAAAAGCGATTGTTGCCGATTCGAAACAATCTACGACTTGAGGTCACACCACAATCATTCAGAGCGCATTTGCTTACTTGAGTGAGCAAGAAAATTCGTTAAGAAGATAAGGTAAAGAGGAGTGAGAGAGGTGAGAGAGAGGATATGGCGCGAAATAGCACCGGCGACGCTGATCCGCGCCGACTTGTGTATCCCACGAAGACAAGAATCGCCGTACCGGTGACCCGAGCTGTCTGAATTTCGGGACTGGTGTCGGCGTGCGTCGCCGGTGCCCGAAGCTCTTGAGCGCCGCCGGCAGCTAACGCGGGCGGGGCTGGGGTTTGGTAAAACTCGGATCGATGCTGGGACGCCCGTTGCCAGGGGTTACCGTTAAAAGCATCCCCGGGCCCCGGCGTTATACATCCCACTCTCTTCCTCTACTCTTCTCTATTCTATTTTCTGTGTATCTCTCTCTCTCTCTCTCTCTCTCTCTCTCTGGGTGCGCGCGCGCGCGCGCGCGTGTTCATGTATGTGTGTGGGTATTTCCATGCGTGGGTGCGCGCGCGCGTGTTCATGTATGTGTGTGGGTATTTCCATGCGTACCCCCGCCCAATGATTATATATTTATATAGCATTATCGTTGCCGGTGCGGACGTGGTGCGACGTAGAATGAGAGTTGCCGGATGTGCCGGTGAGGTAAGATGCTTCGTTAGCTACAAACGTCATTTAGTATTGCACAGTTTTGACCATCGCTTATCTATCTCAAATTAGAGATAACCATGATGTACGATTAGATTTCGACAAGCCTTAATATCAAATCTCTCCCACCCCATTATCGGTCATGCTTTATGGGTTGAGTTGCAGACCATCGATGTAGCCCACTTCAACAACCTTGTGCAAACACAATTTCACGTCTATCTAATCGACGTTCTCTCATACTAAATCGCCAGATATTATCTAATATAATAATAAGATCTTCTTCATAGACTCGTGCTTATTTTATTATTTCTTCTGGATATGAATATTAATTTTTAAACCATTGCTTATAGATTTTACATAAAGTCATATTCGTTTGAATTATGGAAATATATTAAATATTCCTCGTTTACCACTTTTCATAAATAATTCTTTTTTTATGTTCTAAACAATACGTTTATATATATATATATATATATATATATATATATATTTTTTTTTAATAAAATTTTTTATCGCAATTAGAAATATCTAGAAAATATACTCTATTCCTTTTAGTAACAATCTCTAGCTTTAAATTATAGGAGTTTGTTTCTTCAATATTCCATAACCTGCAGTCTAATCCACTGAAATCCATTAATTTACACACTTCTACTTTAACATGAAATCGGTCAAAAAATAACTCCGCTTATACAGGTGTTCAATGCAAATACGTATCGGACACGCAAATATATATATACATGCACATTTGATAAAATATATCCTTGTGAAATTATGGCTTACATATAGGCATGCACGTGTA